CCTACCCAATTCCGTATCACGTTTCCATTCCTGATTTAATAATGTGAATTTGGAATTAATGACGCAGTGTTTTGCTGTTGTTGTGAGATTAAAATGTTAAGTGTTGTAGTTTAATTAAGATTTGTTAGAAATGTATTACTATTCACTTGAATGTTTTCTCTGTGTAAAATGTAGGTTTCCACTATAAACTCTAATTTACCTAAATATTACAGAAACCTAGTCTCAGTTTGTAACGTAATGTTACTTGGTATGACAATGCTAACTTTCTGTCAGGCACTTCCAAAAATGATAGTTTTGTATCATCAGAAACTCAGAGGCGAGGTATTGCTTTTAAAAATGAAATTTTTGAGTTGGCATTGTCATCAAATGACTTAAAACCAGATCGTTCTTTCTCCTGCTCTGGGCCACGGCAGAGGTATATTATTCCTTTGGCATTATTATAAACTAGCAGCACGCCCCTTCTTCGCATGGATCTCATCATTTCGCTAACGATGAAAGGGTCCCTATTACCCAACTCTCCCCTCTACTTCTCTAAAATTTTCTTTCATTAGAATCTTCTCCTGACACTAACTCACGTAACAAAAAAAGAATCAGTAGAATTGGTCCAGGCGTTATTGAGTTATGCGCTTACCAACATATTTTGCGATTCATTTTTATTTTTTTTTATAGTATAAGTCGACAACCGAGCTGACGGATTACCTGATGGTAAGCAATCGGTGCCGCCCATGCCCACGCCCGCAACACCAAAGGAGTTACGAGTGCGTTGCCGGCCTTTTGGGGATAGGGGTTACGGATATAAGGATTGGGAAGGGATATGGGAAGGAGAGGGATTGGCTTTGGGTTGTTTCACGCCGGTATTCTGTGAGGCCGTGGTATCACTCCAGTCACACTTTATGTTCTGGAAATTGACCGAATCTCATCCTTTTTCACATATACATACATACATCATTTTAACACGGCATCAGAGCACTACGAGTAATTAGCAGAGCTATCGGAGACATAAATGTCTAGCTATGTAGGTAGACATATACCGCTAGATAATGTATGACGGCACCTGTGTCTAACAATGTTACCGAGTTTACCGGGAACGTCGCGGCTATGACACGTAGCGGTTTCCTTGGATAACTCACCTAGACTGAGGCACGGGATAATTATGTTATAGATATTGTTATTATTTGTCTTGTAGGTTCGTTAGTTTTAGCTCAAGTGTGTGGTTATAGAGTAGAATAGCTTCACTAAGAGGACTGACCGACAGACTGATATTTTATATCTTTAAAATTTTGTTTCACGTTCAAAAGTGCCTTTAAAGTTCTAATTGAAATAAATGATTTTTGACTTTTTTTTTTAAATATTTGTTGCGGCCGAGTCTTTCTATGACTACATATTCAACGCCATCTTTTTTTGATAATGGTATTAAAAATGTTTTTTGTTTAGTAATATTTATACCAATCTTTTTAAATCGTGATTAGCCTGTAATTTGCATGCCTTAAAGCGTAATATGGTTGAACTATAAACATATTTTCTTAAAAAAATAATGTTACACCCAATTTTAGCGATGAATGATTTTTTTTAAAAAAAGAACAACATGTGACTTTTCTCGTTTAAGAAGGTATGACTAGAGAGAGTGTCAGTCTTACTGACTAAAAGTGCCCCTCCTTCTTCTGCTCTAGGCGGAGGTCGCGGTACCTAATTGCTCTTGACCAGAGACCCCGTGTTAAAATACTTTTTTGATCTCCAACCTCCTTGGTAAGCGAGGTTAAAACAAATGCACTTTAAAAAAATCCTTTACAGAGAAGGTCGCTAGCACAGTTAAGCGGTGCTCTGTCACAGGTTTTTTTATGTCATATTTATACGACAAACAAGCTAACGGATTACCTGATGGTAAGCAATCAGCGCCGCCCATGGACACCCGCAACGATGGAGGAGTAACGAGTGCGTTGCCGATCTTTTGGGGATTAGGAGGGATTGGGGAGGGGAAGGATTGGGCCTCTGATAACCTCACTCACACGGCGAAACGACAACGCTGTGGTTGTTTCACGCCGGTTTTCTGTGAGGTTTCTTTTTATTAAATTTGTTGTACGACCGATTCAACATTCATGTTATGATTGTTACGAATATTATTTTATTCGTAAAATTTATAATAGGTACTATAGCTACACAAATGTAACTCAATTACCACAAATTATATGAAACATTCAAATATTTGTTGATGTGTATTTAAATAAATAATTATAGCTCCATTCAGTTGAACCATAATAATGAGTAATATAATTATTTGCTTTAAGCAATTATGTAATTTATTATACTATAGTTTTTAATAGGCACATAATAGTACCTATATATATGAATTTATTTAAAATATAGAATTGAGTTGATTTATAAACAGTACAGGAATTATGACATTTAGGTTGGTAATGTTGGGTTGCCACATCACGTGTGTGTGTGTGAGGGACAGACAGAGACAAGAGAGAGAGAGAGAGAGAGGGGAAAGAGAAGAGACACTAAAAAGAGAAACAATAAAAAAATAAACAGTTCACGTGTATTTGTATGTAGACCTGTGCTACATTAACTGCCCAATTAGATCGTCTTATCCTCGATATTAATAACCATTCTCTATCTTTATCCAAAATCTTTTCATAGATCTAAATTTTTACTAATTTCCTTTTAATCCAGTCTATTTCCAATCATCTACACTAAAAAGTTATTAATGGTTACACGTTTATGGAACAAGATACTAAAGAAGTGGCCGATCCCTTCTGTCTGAACTTGTGTCTGTCTTCTGTCTGTCCTCAGAGAGCGACCGAGAAACTTATACTCGACAGGCATCATAGATAACAGACTATAAATAAACCCCAATATTTTTAAACTTTAACCAATATTTACGTACAATTACCGTAACAGAATATTCGAGTCGACGAAGAAGAAATAATCTACTCGAATAAATTAATATTAATAAGATTAAAAGAGCTCGCGTTGAGTTGCCTGTGGCTTGTTCTAACTGAATTTAAATTACTTTCTCACCTCTTCTGAAGTGCATAATGGCATTAAAATTGAAATTATTAACATTTCAGAATACAGATGGACAGTTTTAATTGTCACTGTATTCTTGGTGGCTGGATTTAGTTTGGAAGTTGATGCTTATTTCTAAGTAATAAATGTTTCTTCAGCGGTCCTACGCAGATTGCTTTTGCAAATTTTATAATGAGATTCATTGTTTTTTATTAAGTTGGTTGACGTTCTGCTTTTAATTCGGGCGTTAGATACAGAAAAAATATGTTTTTAGATACTCGGATTCGGATCTAAAATGAAGGTTTTATTTCTCTTTTTCTTTATATAACTAGCAAAACAAAAAACGGTTTAATTTCAAGCATACATGGACTGAAATATATCTAATTAAGTAAATAATGCAAAGGTACATTATTTCAAAGGAATCACAGCGTTCATAAAATTAAAATCTTGTAAGTAATTAAATTAAAAGTTGCTAGTAAAGAAATAAACAAAAAAAAAAAACATTTACGATTGAATTTGCTGTCTGTTTTTGCACATCGTGGCGTTTTTCGCGGTACTTAAAACTTGATATAATTAACATTTTGTGGGGACGCTTCTTATCATATTGTGGCGCCCAACCCGAGTATACGACGAACTTTCATTAAGATTTGCAAATTAAATTCGTCTCTACGGCGTGTTTTAATCGCGCCCATCTTTTCTTAATTAAACTTAATTATAGGTGACTCTAAGTGATGTAGGAGGTCGCTAAAACAATTTCATGTCAAGCGGTCGCGGCTTGCGATGATTTATAGCACCGTGTGGCCATTGCCTTATTTTATTTTTGAATTATTATTGTATTAAATTCCAAAGCGGGCGTGTTCTATCGTGTTGTTTAAAATTTTGAATTGAGAATGCTCAGTTCCTAGAACTAATTATTTTCTTTTTAAATTTTTTTTTATTATTAATATTCAAGTTTTTGTGTTAATTTTCTACATATGCTTTTTTGTTTGTGGTACTGCAAAAAAAAATTTGACAGACTTTATTAACAATTAATGCTTATTTTTCATATCTTAATCAATTTCACATTTTAATCCACCACATAAATATAACAATGTACAAGCAAGCATATATATATAATACAATATAATTCGTAATATAAAAAAAAACGAACACAAAATATAAATTCTAAAAGAATTTAAAAATCGAAATCAGAAATACATTTTCTTTATTTTCCAAATAGCCGCGGGCGTTCAAAAACGTTAACACAACCACATTATTGAAAATGAAAGGAGTTTAAGTTTCAAAGGCGCCATGTTATACGGGCTATCACGGGAATAAGTTTCGAGATAAAAGGGCGATTGGATACAAGTCTACTTGTATTATGTTCTGCATGTGTATCTAGAACGACGCATAAAAGTATAATGCAGATACTTTGACGGTACAACGACAATGTAGCGAGTGTGTACCTAGCTTTAATGCCACTCTGTGTAGATGTAGAATTATCTTTGACGTTTCGTTTTTTTTTGATATTGGGCGTTCTTTTTTAAAGTGGGAATAAGGTGAAAGACTATTTAATTTTTTTTTTATAAAATATTCCATTGGAATAATATGCAAAAATAACAATTAATAAATAGCTTATTTCTAATTGATTTTGCAGAAATAAGTACTGATTACATTTATTAATCTCAACACAGATTAAAAAAATATAATTAATGACAACTCAGAAGAAGTAAGGAACAGTGGTTTACACTGTAAGAATTTATATTTTTTTATAAAAACTTAGTTGTACCAATTCAACCAACCCTTAAAACCACATAAAACCTGTGATGGCGATGGCATCCATCTGCCCAAAATGGCGAAAATATACGGTAGGGATCAGTTAAAACAGTTCCTTGGAGCCTACCCTGAAGCATAGGCTATAGAAGATATTTAACTAGACTACATGTCCACGCAGTGCCAAAATAACGAAATCGAAAAATAATACAACTAATAATAATATATTATTCACTTACCATGCATCTTATCATTCAGCAGCGCGTATCTCGGGTTGGAGGCGACATCTAGCGGCAAGGAGTTCCATAGCCACCTGACCTTCGGCGAAGGGTTGCCAGTGGCTTGGCAGGGAAGAGTGGCGGTGTGACCAACTTCCACAACCATGGTGGTCGGTGGGGGCGCAATGCTGGGGAAACCAGGTGGAGCTTTGTCCGCTGTAAAGATAAAAAAAAATGGTAAGTTAACTAGAAAATGATAATTTTTAAAACAAAGTTTCATTTCTGTTGATAATTCGATTTAATGTATGATTGTACTGAGACTATCAGAGCAACCCCGTGGAGCAACCAATCCAATCTGAATCATAACTTAACATCAAAATAACAAAGTTGAAATTCTTATAAAGTAATTTGACAGAACGTGTAAGTTGACCTGCAGGCAACTGTACGTAACTGCATATACCTATTTTTTATTTTCTCCTGTTAAATTTTAAGTCCCGATTGCTAGTAGGTACTTGGTTTGTATTCAAAACCGAACTACTATAAGGTAAACACAAAAGTTTAGATAAAATCTCTCAGGACGATTGTTTTTTTCCCCTTAATGAAGTAATTAAAGAAAATTAACATAGTCTGATAGTAATTTGCATTAATTTGACGCTACAATTGAACTATTAGGTAATCGTCGATTGGCTCAAACTACAATCACTGCTGGTTTCATATGTCGAGAGGAAGTTGCCGATTTCAACGATTCGATTTGAACTAAGATACCATGCTAGTGACATTGTGACAACGAATGATTAGAAGTAGGTAGATACCTACGCACTTTACAATCCTTCCCACTCAAGTAGGTACCGAGTAGGCTCAAAGAGATAAGCTCTACAAAAAGAAACCAATCTACCATCTCAAGATTTAAGCCCTTGACAAAGAGGCTCACGAAATGAAACGGAATCACACCGCGGAAATCTTAAAACACTCCCATAAAATTTCAAATAGTGAAATGTTAATTTGCTAAATGAAATTCCTCGTCCTCACGGTAAACTGAACGAAATTTGATTAAGTTACAAGTCTGACATTATTTCTCTTAGATTGTAAGCTTGATCAGATGCAAGAAGTGTAAAAGAGACGGGTTTATTCTCTGTAGAATCGAGTGGCGAGATTACTTTGAGAACTTTTGTAGGCAAATGAAATTCATTGTCTGGTGAAACTCGGCGCGATTAATTGGATAAACAGAAGGGTTTCAGATCTGAACTTATCCAATTCAGTGTATTGTAGTTAAATTGTAATCTTGCGTTACTTGTTAAGTGTCTTTTCTAATCGGAATTCGATTTCATCTTCTTTGTTTTGTGGAAGTTTCAATTCGGTATTCGTATTGAGCTATACAACTAAGTCTGGAATATAAACACGTTCTTCTAAAGACTTAGAACTCTGTTTAGTTAATTGAAATTAGTTTTTAGTGCTTTTAAAATATTTTCTATTTAATTTAAAGCTAACATATCGTTCTCTGACCCTCAAAACTTTACATTCCCAAGTTTGATTCCAAACTAAAGTCATAAATACAGATCAGGAATCGTTTCTTGAAATTCTCCAACTGAACCAAGTCGGTCCCTCTTTACAGCATTAATTTAGTATAATATCGCGTATGATATCTTACGAGGGCTAATACGAGTCTTCCGTTGTACTGATCCCCAGCGATCGTCGGTTTCCTTGGGCATTAATAATAATAAGCCTACGTTGAACCGGTGGACCTGACTCACCACTACATGATTTGCACCCTGACGGAACCCAAGGTAATTATTATTTAAGAACGCCCCTAGTTACACGTTTGAGGGTGTATAATTTACATAATGTTGCCAGTACTGAAAATCATTTCATGTTCTTCACTCTTTAATTATTTAGCTACGGTTGTTGTGTTAAATTTTAATAAGTTGTTTTTGCGTTTTATTGAGGTCGAGTGTTTGGTGTTTTTTATATCTTCATACAAGTTTTATTTATGGTGGCACTTTTTTATGTTGGTTACGTTCCTACGACATTTTTCATGGGCAAAGTTAGTAAGAGTAAACAAGTTTGTGTTGTAACCAAAATTGGAGTACAATTTTTGAGTGGGTTCTAATTTTATTAGAGTGCAAAACAGCATAAGATTGTGTATCCAAGTGTATTGGAGCAGTTTGTTTACAAATAGCAGTATATATTGAAAAGGGCCAGTGTAAACAAATCCGTGTGTTACCTGAAAGGATCTAAGGCAATATTTTTCTTTACAAATTGTATCTACTAGGTACTTTCCTGGAAACGAAAAGTCGAGTGAAGATTATGGTTGCCGTAAAGAAGGCGAGTGGAGCGGTTGCCATGGCAACGGTAAACATAGTTACGTATATGTTATGTACGATATTGTATCGTGGTGCAATCCGATTATCGCGGATTGTTTTTCTACGAGTCTGCCACCAGGTTCCGTGGATATCTGTGGCCGAAGTGGATCAGCAATTTGAATGTTATGGTTGCTACCTTGGCTATATATTTTTTTATTTTAAATTAATATCAGGTTATTTTTCAATATTTAAATGTAAGAAAAGTTTTTATTTGTTATCAAGAAAACAATTTTTTTAGAATCTACACTATAATTTATTGTAATATGAATCTTAGGAGCATGGCGTGATATTCCCGAATTCTGAAGGTTGGCTAGCAAGAATGCCTTTGTAAATTTTGTAACGAAAAGTTAAATGAATAAACTCAACTCAACTTACACTTAAACTCTTCTATTCATCTACAAAGCCAATCAATATCCCCAATTCCTACTTCTCTGTAGAACAATTTGACTACACTTGTGCCACGTGTTTCCTTATACTAAAATCTGTAGTCTGCAAGTTATCCTTTGTGCCATATGTATGTTATTCCATACCATAATTTGATTAGGAAAGTTTAAAGCAAACATAAGACATGATACTTCGGATCTAGATATGAATTTGGATAGAGGATTTAAACTAGATTTTCATATTTAAAAAAAAACACTAAACAAAACACTTCCATGCAACCAGTGGTCAGGGCTCCAGAGAAAGGAATCTCCGGAAAATGCGCGACGTGTCTAGAAGTACCGCTTTCTGCATCAGGTTCTTGACCTGCTTAGTCGTTTATCGAGGCTTTTAGCTATGAGACCATTGGCGATTTTTATTAGGCATAATTATCATCATTAACCAGCTACCGTGGTTCGGTTCCTGCTTGAACTAACTTTTTATGTGATCAACAGATTGTCGTTTTGTGTCTGGAGTGTGTTGTGTATGTGAAAAAAATTATGTTTGTAAACTCCTATCCACCACTTATAAGAAAATACTACAGCAAAGCAACATTTAGAAAAAAACATTCGATTTGAAGTTGTGAACCCATTCGTGTTGTTGTTGCTATAAAAAGGTAATGTTGATTAAAGTATTTTATTAAATCTTTTTTTTATGTAACAGGTCGGTTTTTTTATGTAATATGTAATAAACGAGCAAACGGATTACCTGATGGTAAGCAATCAGCGCCGCCCATGGAAACCCGCAACGGAGGAGTTGCGAGTGCGTTGCCGACCTTTTAGGGATTAGGGACTTGGAGATTTGGACTCTGTTTATATTATATCATTTTCTGCGTTTTTATAGTGGACACTTGGACAGTAATTTAGATTAGATGGAAAAATACCCATTTAAATTTGTATAAGCGTTAGCTACAATTTGATAATGCATTATCTATGTAAATGCATTCAAATTTAGTAAAAAATATTCATATCAGAAATCAATGATGTATAAATCTATAGATACGTTGTCCGCGCTCTAAAATGGCAACATGAAATGAAGGCAATTTGACAACATCGCGCTTAGTCACGCACCAACCTCCCGCGCGACGCTACGTTTGTTATAATTTATATCGTGTGTGTAAACCTGTGCGAAACTAAAGAAAGCATGCCGTCGTGTGTGTTCAGAGGATGTACAAATTATACTCTAAAAGTTAAAGACAAAAATGTGTCATTTCATGCGTAAGTTCACCAAACAACCTACTTTTATTTTATTTTTTTCGACGCCGGCGCCCGCCATCTTATGGCGGCCGGCGCATGAAGGTATAGTCACGTGCCGTCGGCATAACTGAAGATGTATATTTATCTCCCTCTAGCAAAGGCATTCCACTATACGATGTCATATTTTCTTTCCCTTTCTTTACTCGTAGAAGTAGTTATCTAGTATTTTCGCCGTTTTTAAGCGCCGCGATGTTGGTTCATGACGTGTCTATATATAATACGTCATTGTCAGAAATAACATTTTATCTTAATTAAAAAGCAAAGATAGACCTTCTACCATAGCGTAATATCGAAATAAAAAAGAGATTAATGAAATTACAGCCAATTCACTTTGATGAACAAATACAAACATAAAAATTAAACTCATCGGAATAACACACCAAGGACTAATAGAAAACGCAATCAAAGCTTCAAAACCGTAAAACGCTTATAAAAGTCACTCTTTTCCTATAAAAAATCTCTCACCTTTGAATTTTTTTCACAAAGGCACATGTTCGTATTTAAAATATACCTTTGATGCATTATGATAAGGTTTAAAATCGTTATATGAGAGAAAGCGGTTGCGTTACGTCATAAATTTATACCCAACTTGATATTAATTACGGCGTTCGTTCCCCGACTACCCGCAAATTGTAATATATTGCATCCCTAGTTATATTACGTTTCTTCACCGTGTGCCTTCCCAAAGATTCTTCTTGTTTATTTAAACTTTTCATGAAATTTGTATAAAAAATTCACAACTTTCCACTTTTATAAAGGGGTTGGTTATTTTTTGGTTCGTTCAGAATCTGGTATCCTTATTAACAGGATGTTGTCGGCGTGTCAACTTTTTCTATCAATATTAAATGTTTCTTGTTATTTAACTTTTCAATCGTGGTAATTCAAGAAAGAATATGTGTGCGAACGCCGGCTTTCGCTTTGGGGTTGGTGAATTAAATTTGCCTATTCTTCATGATTTTTTTATTTTAGCAAATCATCCTTTGTTTTTTATTCTTTTTGTATTATTATATTTAAGGATTGGCCCTCCAGTAAATTCACTTACACGGCGAAAAACAACGCTGTGGTTGTTTCACGCCGGTTTTCTGTAAGGCAGTGTTATCATTCCGGTCGAGCCGACCCATTCGTGCCGAAGCTTGGCTTTCCTACACTTAAAATCAAAGAAATAAAGTCTTGAACCATTTTTTAATAACA